GCGAGCAACATGGTTGCTCTGCCTTTCAAGACATTGCGTCTCCACCTTCACCGAGCAAGAAAGGCGCCTCTGTCGCGAGGCTCTGCTAAGTGAGCGTCACGAGCGCCGCATTCGACGGACAGAGCAGAAGAGCGGCAGCGATGGAGCAGGGCAGACGAAGGCGAAGAAGGCGACAAAGAAGAAGGCTGCCAAGCGCACAAAGGCAGATATGGAGGTGGCGCAGTATAAAGGTCTGTATACTCCTTCAGCAAGTGCTCAGGTTGCAGACACGGCGGGCGAAACAGAGGGCTCGCGAAACCAGACGATTGCTGAAGCGAAGGAGACGATAGAGACAACCGCGATAGCGGATGCGATGGAGGTGGAAGCAGACCACGAGACGGAGGTGACAGAAGTCGTCGCGGACATTATTTTGAGCGTTGAGACTGCGCTGCCTGCCCAACAGTCTGGTATCGCGTTAGCTACTACTGATTCCAGTGCTGAAAAACGAAAGCGTAGTACTCAAGTGCCGACAAGAGAGCATCGCCGCGCTCTCCTACAAGAAGACAGCGATGGCGACGATGACACGGTGCGTTTTGTTCATTTATCCAACTTAGAAGGATTGTGGCTGACAACACGTCTAACATAATATCCAATATACGTGATGTATGGTGAACAGAGAATGCAAGGTGACGAAGACGAGAGTGTTTACGAAGCAGACGTTGTGCACAGTGTACCTGCGTGTGTTATTGACACACACCCTAACTTTATGGACGAAGGAGCTGACGAATGCACCGGGCTCAACTCCGACGAGGACCCAGAGCTTCGTGAGGAACCTGAAGACGAAGAGGATGCTGATGACGATAGTTGGGACGGTGACTGGGACATTGGAGAGCTGACAGATGAAGATTTGGACCACGACATCGAGGAGCTTCCAAACACGGCGTGGTTATCCGCAGCGAAGAACGCACCACTGATCACTGCAATGCGTACCGATGGCTGGGAGTATGGTACGTTATGTTGGCCGAATCCAACATAATCCTTTCATTTTGTTTCTGAGTTAACATAAAGGCTAACATAGTTTTTGTCCTTGTGTGTTGTATCTAGACGCGACTAAATTTGGACCTGACCCAACGTATGCTGGGTTGTATGATGGGCCATACGGACCAAGTGACAGCGTGCTACGCGTTGGGGACGATCCGCTGGCATTGCTCTTCTTTTTCCTGCCGCCGAAGATTTGGTCCCAAATTGCTGTCGAA